GGGATTTTCTGCCTGGATATTCTGGGTTATATGGCTGTATGGAAGTCTGTGTTTTATTACATTTTAAATACCTTAGTTTCTCAATGTCTATTTATGTTTGTGTAGCATCAAAGAGAGCAAACAATTGTGTGGCACCAAAGGGTTCTGTTATCTGAATCTTCTCCTGCTCTTATATGAACCTGGCTTATCAGTTGAGTTGTTGTCCTTTTCCCCCTCTTTGCAATTGTTGTGAAAGTATTAAATGTCTCCCTACAACCAGTTTTTATTGTGCAATGGGTGAACGAGGTCTGTTTGCGAGGAGCATTTCCTGTTTTTGATTTCATCTCATTGTGGCGCATTGACACCCGCAGTGACTTGCGGCCAGTGGCCACTGCATTATAAACAGTCAGTGTGCATTTATTTATTCTCCGTTCCGTCACTGCTTGTTTCCTGCCATTGCAAAGAGGATAGTTGGCTTCGCTGTGGGAACTGTGGCTGAAGTATTTCAGTACTTTTGGGAGTGTGTACCAGTCAGGTTTTGGATTCGTGATTGAAAGATTGTTAAGGATTTCTCAATTTGAAAGGATCAGTGATGGCAGACTTTTTGAAGAGGGAGAAAGCTTGACTCATTTCCATTTGAAGCCACAATATTACATCATAGTGAGTGGTTATGGGTGCAGTCTAGAACAGAAGTGAATGAGTTCTAGGAAAATGTTAAGGGGAGATCCACCAACTAGAGCCTGGTACACGAGATGTATGCTTTTGATTAAAGAATTCCACATCCTCCAGGCTTCAGCATTTCACAAATGAAAGGTAGGGGTGCATTTACACTGCAGATTTAATGCAGTTTGACCCCACTGCCATGGCCAAATGCTACGGAATCCTTGGGAGTTGAAGTTTGGTGAGGCATCAGCACTCTTTGACCGAGAAGTCTAAATAACTTGTAAAACTACAATTCCCGTGAGCCATAGCAGTTAAAGTGATGTAAATTGCATTCATTCTGAACATGTGACCAAAGAACATGAGTGTAGTAAAAGTTATAAATTTGTGTGGGGGGGGGGGGGATGCACAGGTTAGACGTTTGCGGCACCAGTTTGCTTTTGCTCAAATCTATACTGAAGGGCAAAATACTTCCCCCTTTCCTTCTGCTGAATTGTTATTGTTCATTCATTCAGTCGCTTCTGACTCTTCATGACCTCATGGACCAGCCCATGCCAGAGCGCCCTGTTGGCTGTCACCTCCCCCAGCTCCTTCAGAGTCAAGCGAGTCACTTCAAGGATACCATTCATCTTGCCCTTGGTCAGCCCCTCTTCCTTTCCCCCCAGCATAATTGTCTTCTCTAAGTTTTTCTTTCTTATGATGTGGCCAAAGTACTTCATCTTTGTTTCTACTATCCTTCCCTCCAGTGAGCAGTCGGGCTTTATTTTCTGAAGTATGGACTGATTGGATCTTGCGGTCCAAGGCACTCTCAGAACTTTCCTCCAACACCACAGAAAGACATTCCTGCTGAATTAACTGAGCAAAAATTGTCCTTGCACTTTAAAAGCACTTTGCATCACATGAAGTAAAACCAGGACCATGGGGAAAAATAGGAAAGGAAGAGATATCTGCTGGAAGCCAACCATAGAAACACACTGGAAAACTTATGATAGTCCTGAAGAGGTGTTCTTTCAGGAAATCTCTAGGTCCTCTACACTGGAAGACCTAGGGCAACCTATGGGTCCCAGGTGTTTTGGCCTCCAACTCTCAGAAATCCCAACCAGGTTACCAGCTGTTAGGATTTTGGAAGTTGAAGACCAAAACATCTGGGGACCCATAGGTTGGGAACCACTGTCCTAGAGATTTCTGGAAATAATATTTGAAATCGAATCCATGAGTAATCATATCCACAAAAGTCAAAACTGCAAATGTGAAGGGAAGATTATATACAGCAGCGTTTCTCAACCTGGGGGTCAGAAGGGCCACCAAAGACCATCAGAAAACACAGTATATTTTGTTGCTCATGGGGGTTCTGCATGGGAAGTTTGGTCCAAATCTCTCATTGGTGGGGTTCAGAATGCTCTTTGTAGGTGAATTATAAATCCCAGCAACTATAACCCTCAAATGTCAAGGTCTATTTTCTCCAAAATCCACCAGTGTTCACATTTTGGTATGTTGCATACTCGTGCCATGTCTCATCCAGATCCATCATTGTTTGAGTCCACAGTGCTCTCTGAACGTAGATGAACAACAACTCAAAACTCAAGGTCAATGCCCACCAAACCCTTCCAGTATTTTTGGTCATGGGAGTTCTGAGTGACAGTTTGGTTCAATTCCATTGTTGGTGGAGTTCCGAATTCTCTTTGTTTGTTGGCTAACTATAAATCCAAGCGATTACAACTCTTAAATGACAAAATCAACCCCCCTTCCAACCTCACCAGTATTCAAATTTGGGTGTATTGGGTATTTGTGCTAAATTTTGTCCAGTGAAAGAAAATACATTCTGCATATCAGATATTTACATTACGATTCATAGCAGTAGCAAAATTACAGTTATGAAATAGCAATGAAAATAATGTTATGGTTGTGGGGGGGGGGCACCACAACATGAGGAACTATATTAAGGAGTCTTGGCATTAAAACGATTGAGAACCTCTGATATACAGTATTGTACCCATAGTGTCTCAATTCCTTTAAAACTTCACCATTTTAAATAATGATTTCACAATGTTCTGTAATGCAGATTGTGTGTCCCTTCCCTATCTCTGCTTTCTAGGAATGATTTTCTGTCTAGTTGGGAGGAAATTGATGGGAAATCATGTTTAAGGAAGGTTTTCTGATACTTGATGTTGTTTATGGAACTCAGATCCTAGTTACAATGGATTGATAGAAATAAAGACCCAGCTAGATGTATTTGCTTCCTGCTGAAATTTGTTAGACCAGCAATTTTGCTTGTGGCAATTTTCAGTGCAATGCTTTGCATGTTTAATCAGAACTAAGTCCCATGATGTGCAGTGGTTTAAATGTGTCTAAGTTTGTAACTGGGAGGCAAGAGTTCAAATGTGTGTTCAGCTATGGAAATCAACAATGTGGTATTGCACAAGCCACATACTCTCAGTCTACGTAGATGGCAATGGCAAACCTCCTCTGAAGAAAAATTGTTCAGAAAACCTATGATAGAGTCACCATAAGTTGGGACTGACTTGTACATACAAACAGTTTATGACAGCTTGACATCATTCAAGTAACCTAAAAGGGTATCTCATCTTATTTTGGAAGTTAAACAGGGTCAGTCCTGGCTAGTACTTGGATGGGAGAAAGCAAATACCATTTGTTGTATGCTAGAGTTTCTCAAACTGTGCTCCTCCAGATGTTTTGGACATCAACACCCACAATTCCTAATAACTGGCATGCTGGCTGGGATTTCTGGGAGCTAAAGTCCAAAACAACTGGAGGAACACAGTTTGAGAAACACTGCTGTAGGCTATAGTTCAGGAGAAGGAACTGGCAACATTACCTCAGAGTACTCCTTGTCTAAGAAAACCGTATGGAATTCATGGGGTCATAGGATGGACAGTTACATACACAGGTTCCCAGAGTGTTTTTTTTAAAGTCAGGAGTGATTTGAGAAACTGCAAGTCGCTTCTAGTGTGAGAGAATGGGCTGTCTGCAAGGACGTTGCCCAGGGGATGCCCGGATGTTTTACCATCCTTGTGGGTGGCTTCTCTCATGTCCCTGCATGGGGAGCTGGAGCTGACGAGGGAGCTCATCTGAACTTTCCCCAGATTCGAACCTCTGACATGTTGATCTTCACGTTAGAGGTTTAACCCATTGTGCCAGCAGGGGCTACTTCCCAGAGTGATAAGAACAGGTGCTAAAATAATTCTAACATAGTCCAAAATACAAATATGGCCCAGTGGGAAAAGACATTCAAGAGAAGAATGAAATACACTGCATGTCAAAACGTAAAAGAAAATGTTTGCAAAATGCACCTGTGATAGTATCGCCAGAGAGTCTAGCCAATATGTATAATTGTACTGACAAATGTTGGAAATGTGGGAAAGAAAAAGATAAATTTTACCACACATGATGGGCTTGCAACAAAGTAAACAACTAGTGGAAACAGATTCATATACATCTATCTTGAAAAGATGTTAAACACAAATTTCAAAATGACACCACAAATGTACCTTTTGAACATGCCTGATGAAGAACTAAAAAGGAAATTTGAAAATATAATGTTTTACATGACAGTGGCAGCTTGAATAGTATATGCCAGATATTGGAAAACCTCTGAGATACCTCCTTTAGAAGAATGAGAAAAATACATTACAGATTTGCTGATAATGGGTAAAATAACTGTACTATTAAGAGGAGAACTATTCGAGAACTTTGTTAATGAATGGCAACCTAGGATTCAACATCTCAATGTAAAATTAAAGTAAAAATGTATATAGAGGATCCTATAAGACTAGAGAAGGAGGAAGCGGATATTAATTTAGAACCTATGATCCCTTTATATGTACTATTTAAATAGAAGACTGTGACCCCTTAAAGAAAATATATTATCTGATAAATGATTATGGAACACTAATAGCTGGAAAGTATTGCAATGTACACAACAAACACTTACAAATGTATGTCTACTTGAATATATATATATATATATATATATATATATAGAGAGAGAGAGAGAGAGAGAGAGAGAGAGAAACCTAAAAAACTATTAATTATTCTAATACAGTTTTCAGTTAAGAAGAAATCTCACTCTATTAGGAATATTTATAATACAATGCAAGTGCTTCTTTTTTTTCTGAGCAGATGAGTTCATAGCAAAAATAGAAGTCAGTACACAAGATATTGGCATACTACAAAATCTTCAAATGGTCATAGCAAAATAATGTAAGCTAGTGGCTAAGACAGTTGACTTTTGCACTCAGTCTTGAAGCTGCCTTTTGAAAAGAAATGTTTACATAATGTCTGGGGTTCTGAGTTTATCTTTATGGGAACATGACACCAACTTTGACTTCTCTTTATTGCAGAAGACTATGTGAATCTACTTGTGGCGGAGGCCCTTCTGGAACTCTGCTTAAAAGAAAATGTTGCCAAAATTAAGGACGCCATCCCATTAATGGAAAAAAATGAGCCCCAAATGAGCGACGCCAAGAAGCACTTGACGGGCATTCTCAGCCGAGGGAAGTTGCTGGTAAGCATCCTTGGCAGATGTAAAACATGAGCGCTTCAGATGCCGCTAATGATGTACAATTATAAAAACTCTGATAAGAAAATGTTGGACACCTCCAGCCCCATCTGTCTCTTCCTCAACCCTTCTGTGTTACTTAATGAGTCCAGGAAATGTGCCAGTTGTCTACTCTTCGCTGGCAACATTTTTCATTCGGGATGAAAAGTCCCACATTCAGAGGGAAAAAGGGGGAAAAAGAGGGGAGGAGGAAGACCCCAAAACAACTAATTAAGGAATGGCCATGCTTGGAAACAATGCAATGTGGGTACTGTTTGTTTGGAGACAGGGCAGAAAACAAAAGTGGGGAAGGGAGTGGTATAGAGTATCCTAGAAAAGGGCATTGTCTCACTGGCTTGTTAAGCAATTTCCACATTCAGTTGTTTTGCCTGAGGCTTATGTGTTGGCCCAGACACTCCATGCTGTGTTAGCAAACCTCTTGTGCATTGTACAGGGCAGAGTTCATAGCAATGCAAACTCATCATTTGGTTGAGATAGTACAATTAGTGAAAACATTTGCACATGATGAGGGTTATTTAGATTGCATAGACCCGCTTTGCATTCTCTTTCCAGCCCCTTTCACACAGCTGAATACAATCCCACACTATCTGCTTTGAACTGGGATATATGACACTGTGGACTCAGATAACCCAATGTAAAGCAGATATTGTGGATTATTCTGCCTTGATATTCTGGGTTATATGGCTGTGTGGAAGGGCCCTCACACACCCTTTTTTGGAGATCTATTGTTTCCTATAAAAGTGGGAGGGTAATTTTTGTACTTTTCAGGAATGTTGATCAAAATCTTTTATTTTGCCCACATGTGGATTACTCAGTATTTCAAGACATAGCAGGTGCCTTCTTATCTATTTTTTCAACAAAAAGCAATACTTTGCCATTTCTTGCCCTATTCCCCAAATAGGGAAGCAAGTCGTCCAGGAATACCTGACCACTCTAAATGAATTCAAGTCCCCAGGGCCAGATCAACTACACCCAAGAGTATTGAAGAAACTAGTGGAAGTTATTTCAGAACCACTGGCAATCATTTTTTTTAGAGTTCTTGGAGAATGGGACAAGTTCCAGCAGATTGGAGGAGGGCAAATGTGGTTTACTATCTTCAAGAAGGGAAAAAGGAAGACCCAGACAATTGCTAAAAGATTGTTAAGGAAGTGGTCTGCAATTAGAAATGAATGCAGTCATGGCTAATAGTCAACACAGATTTATAAAAAACAAGTTATGCCAGAGTAATCTGATCTCTTTTTCTCAATAGAGTTGCAAGCTGGGTAGATGCTGGAAATGCCATGAATGTAATGTATCTGGATTTCATTAAGACCTTCGACAAGAACCCCCATGACCTCCTGGCAAACAAACTAGTCAAATGTGGACTAAGCAAAACTGTGGTTAGATCTTGGATTCCTGGAGGACAACAAGTTAAACATGAGCTAACAATGTCATGTGGTGGCGAAAAAAAGCCAATGGGATTTTGGCCTGAATAAATAAGAGTCTAGTGTCTAGATCCAGGGAAGTCATGCTACTCCTCTAGTCTGCCTTGATCAGACCACGCCTGGAATACTGTGTCCAATTCTGGGCACCACAATTAAAGAAAGATGTTGACAAGCTGGAATGTGTCCAGAGGATGCAACTAAAATGATCAAGTGTCTGGAGAACAAACCCTATGAGGAGCAGCTTAAAGAGCTGGACATGTTTAGCCTGAAGAAGAGAAGGCTGATAGGAGACATGATGAGGACCATGTATAAATATGTGAGGAGAAGTCATAGGAAGGAGGGAACAAGCTTGTTTTCTGCTGCCCTGGAGAATAGGACACGGAACAATGGCTTCCATCTACAGGAAAAGAGATTCCACTTGAACATGAGAAAGAACTTCCTGACTGTGAGAGCTGTTCAGAAGTGGAACTCTCTACCTTGGAGTGTGGTGGAGGCTCCTTCTTTGGAGGCTTTTAAACAGAGGCTGTATGGCCATCTGTCAGGGGTGCTTTGAATGTGATTCTCTTGCTTCTTGGCAGGGGGTTGGACTGGATGGCCCACAAGGTCTCTTCCAACTCTATGATTCTATGCTGCTATCTCCAGCCTTGGGAGTTACACCACCAACCCAGCAATGACTTAATTGTCTAGGTATATAAATAAAGTTCCATGTATTGAAATGCTTTATTTTTAGTAAATATGGAGTTAATTCTCATAGAATGGTAGCCTTAGTCTGCTTATGTCTTTTTGTTGCTGTTGTCTACAGTGAAAATCCCCTTTCTGTTTCCCCAGCCAAGAGATATGACAGAAGCCATGTTGATCCTAGCGAAACTTCATTATGTTGAGGGGTCTTACAGGGATGCTCTCAGCATGTACGCAAGAGCCGGCCTTGAGGACCTTCCTGTGGAAAAGAAGCCATTGTACATGCTGCGTCTCCTGACTGAAGCTTTTGTTATCAAAGGTAATTATTTGTTTGCTTTTTGCTGGAATTATTTCTGTATTTGGTAGTTGGTAACCATTTGCAATATTTAGTCATGGAAACCTAAAGTTTATCCCTCCTAAAGCTGACTGGTGAGAGGTTGAATAGATTTGAATGGGAGCTGCATTGAGTTTTAGTTCTTCTAAAAAGCCAGTAACTATGTACATGTACATGTACATGTATGCCAACATGTGTGGCTCCAAAACAAAAGTTTAAAATATTGTACTGGGGTCTATACTTCAAACTTCCATCTTATGATATGAACTGTAGAAACTTGGTTTTTTCTTGAATTCATTTTTGGTTTAGAGAGAAGAAACAGCAGTCAATCCTTCACTTAACTCCAACTTTTGTAGCCTTACAGATGTATCGGACTGCTATCCTCAGAACGTAACTGGGGTGTTCTGGGAGTTGCAGTTGAACACATCTGGAGGAACTCAAGTGTGGACTTGACAATTAGATCTCAGCTAAAGAGGTATGGACCACAGTAGGACGTGGCCCCAACACAGCTGACATATCAATAATGTCATGACATTATGTTTTTTTTAAAGAGAGAGTCAAAAGATGTAAACAAGAAAGAAGGTGAAGTATGTTTATGATACAAACTTATATTGGTTGGCTTTTGAAACAAATGTCATGACTTCCCTCTCCCAGATCTTGTGAACTCTAGTTTTGCATGGCTATTCGGAATTTGGTCAGTGAAGGACTGACCAAATTGGTCACTTTCCAGTTAGTCACTTTCCAACTCTTGCTAGATTATAGCCCCCATCCTAATCAAAGGCCCCATTGCATAAGTGTGATAGAATTTGGAATCTAAGGACACCTGGAGGGGACACACCTGCTCCGTATCCTACTTCAGCAACGACCCAATTCCCATATTGGCTGAGAACTAAAGTTCTGCGGTTCCCTGGGAAGACGGAATGACTATTAAATGAGTGTGTCTACACTAAAGAGTTATACAGAATTTGGAACAAAAATCATTTTTTTGTGGGGTGGGGGGGCGGGGAGACTACAACTCCAAGAATACTACAGTCATGGGTCAGGATAACTGGAAGTTTTAAAGACTCATCTGGGTTCCGAATTTGCCTCGAGAAAGTCAGAGGAGTGAAAGTGAGGGAAATTATGGGCACTTTATGTTGCCCTGTTACAGCACTATGTTTCTCTTTTAACTCCCATGTTTTCACCTATGGAAATATATTTATTTATTTATTTACAACATTTATATGCCACCCTTCTCACCCCGAAGGGGACTCAGAGTGGCTTACAAATTATATGTACATACAATATATTATATTATTAGCATAGCACAATATTAGTGTAATATATTACTATATGGTACTATTCTACTATACTGTAATATTATTAGTAATATTACATGTAATATAAAATATAAAATTATTATATTGTATTATTATTAGTATTATATTGTATTACATTATAATAATATCAATATTATATGTGTATACATTATATTATTAGCTCTGTGAACTATAAGTCATATATATATATATATATATGACTTATAGTTCACAGAGCTCTAGTGTCTTAGCAAACTACAAAACTTCAGAATTTCATAGAATGTTGCCCTAGCAATTAAAGTGGTATCATAGTGCTATAACTGTGTAGTGTAAAAGGGAGCCTCATTAAAAGGAGAAACTGGGACAATATCACAATTATAATTACATATTGGTCATAATGTCCAGGTCCCATGTTGCATGTTAGGTTTAAAGGTCTGAAAAATGCAATACAAGTAATTACTTACAGGTATGGAGTAAAATGGCCTTATTGCCAGATTCTGAAACATAATATTTCGTATCCATGAAAACTTGAACGGCACTATCTTTTTGTGCTTTGGCATCCATTGTCGGTTCTGTCCTGTAATTGCTAATCATTCTCAGTAGCATCTAGCCAGTTAAATTGAACATTTGTCTTTTCTTTCCTATAATAATTTATATATTTTTTGTTTTGCTGTCATTCACTAAAGCACTGTGGTAAGAAAAAAATAACCTCACTGAGATGCATGTTATTCAATGTTATTCTGTAGGGTGGGGACAGTGTCTCAGAAAAAGTGCTGGGGAAATTGTTCAGCTTATTTTTTCTGGGTGCTTTTTCAATATAAAAAGCTCTCTTGCAGTTTTTGTCTTCTTTTTTGCTTTCATTCCATCTTATAAATGTTGCTGAAATAGTTGCTGTCTATCTGTCTCCCCTCTTCTGCTCCTTTTCAGCATGCCTGCCAGCTTGTTAGGTGAATGGGAACTCTTGAGATGATCAAATACCTCCCACTGGTATGTAAAGATCAGAATGAAAACTCCACATTTTTGTTTGGAGTGAGCTTGATAAGTATGCATGTTGGTTTCAGGGGACAAACCCCTTTGTGTGTTTGATGGGCACTTTATTGCAGTCTTGCTCTGCTGCTCTATTGCTTTGGGGAAAGGGAATAGTTTCTTTGTTGGGCTTGAAGGGGTAAACATCTGGTCCCAACCTGTGGTCTGTGGATCACCAGTGGTCCACAAGAATGAAAATATGGTCCGTTGCCTCACCATTACTACACTGTTGCCTCGAAACCATGTGGCAATGAGAGCGACTGGTATCTCAAAACTCTCTCATAGTGCCGAGGAAATGGGGATGTCGGGAGGTGAGAGGGTGACTACCCACAAAAAATCACTACTACCACATTATTTATTTATTTATTTATTTATTTATTTATTTATAGTATTTATATTCCGCCCTTCTCACCCCTCAGGGGACTCAGGGTGGATTACAATGTGCATATACATGGCAAACATTCAATGCCATAGCCTCATACACAGAGGCTATTTAACTTTCCAGCTTTCATGAGGGTATTCTGGCCATCAGGGGAGCTGTCACTTTACCATCCATTTGAGAGACTCTGATGGAATACTTCCTCATTCTTTGCTTGCTTGCTTGCTGGAGATTTATGGTGTTGTAAATTAGTTAAATTAGCCTCCTTGCATAAGCGATACCTAAATTTCCTTCTTGACAAATGCAACTGTCTTTCGGGCTGCAAAGGTCAACAGCGAGCTATACACAATGGTCACTCCAACCTGGGCTGGCTTCAAACACATGACCTTTTGGTTAGTAGTGATCTTAATGCAGCTGACTCCCAGCCAGCTGCGCCACAGTCCCGGTACCACATCAGCTCTAAATTATTAAATATGGTTTTCTGTGGGTGAGGAGATGGTGACTATTGTATGGCATATGTTCTGTATCAGAAACTAGAGCTGATGTGGTCTATCCAATGCAATTTTCTGAATCAGCACCCCAAATAACCAAACTGAATCTAAAGTTGACCAAAAACTGATTAGTAAACCTTTTGGTACTAATGTTGGAGTGGTCCCTGGTCAAAGTAGTCCCTTGTCAAAGTGGTCGCTGGTCAAGTGGTCCCTGGACAAAAAAATGTTGTGAACCACTGAACTAGATGATGATACCTTCATGAAGGGACAGCTTTGGTTTTGAGTTACTTCTAACAAAATGTGTGGAATCTTCTAGATTGGGCTGGGCTGGGCTTAGGAAAGTTATTTTGTCAAATTGCATTTCCCAGAATCTTTAATACGTGGAAAAAAGGATAATGTTTCCAAGTTCTGGGATAGGCAGAAGGTAGATCTGGCTTTACTGGATAGCCAATAGCTAAGGATTTCTAAGATCAAAATATCTTAAAGGCTCTATTTGATCTTTGAAGTTAAGCAAGGTCAGTGCTGATTTGTATGTACTTGGATTGGAATCCAAAGTGAATACCTGTAGGCTGTATTTCAGAGGAAAGAAAGAGCAAAAACACCTCTGAGTGTTCCTAGCCTAAGAAGACCTTATGAAATGTATGGAGCTGCTTTAAGTTGACAAGCAATTTGAAGGTGCGCACACACATACACAAGGATTTCTGGCTGACTACTGTTTTAAAGAAAGCAAAGCTTGGAATGACTCCATTTCCTGGCTTTCAATTTTGAAATGAAGAAAACTCGGAATAACTCAACATGGATATCTTTATGAAAAGGCTGAGCTGTATTCAGAACTGGCATTCAAAGCCTTATTCTAAATGGACATTCTTTGTGCCATACCACAGTGGGCTAATATTTATTAAAGGTTTGTCCCTAAAAACTCAGATGTACCTTCTTGTTCTTTTAGCAAATGTGTCTAGAATTGGAGTCAGAGCTATTGTACTAAGGAAATTTCTATTCAATCCTGACATATTCTGTCCTGCTAGTTTATTTATAATATTAATTCCTTTAAAACTCATTAAAAACTCTAAAATTGGGATTAAATTGTTGGAGGTGGGGATGGTGAACCGCAGATGAACAGTGGATATTAGCAGCTACGTGAGAGCGCATATAGATGTACTTAATCCTCCTCCTCCCCATAAGATAAGTTACAAAGGTGAGTTTTTAATAGCTTTTTAAAGGAGAGAAGAGGCCATTTTTAATTTTTTATGGAGGGAGTTCCAGAGGTTGCCTTCTCTCTCATTCCCACCAGCTGCACTTGTGACAGAAGTGGGACTGAGAGGAGGGCCTCCTCAATATTAAGTTGTCTATAGCATTAAAACCATTTAAAATGTTGTTTTAAAAGCAAATAATGCCCCTGACTAAGTGAAGCTCAGTTTCCAAAAAGCGCTGGGATAAGAAAAGACTTCACTTGCCAATGAAAGGGCCACAAGGAGGAACCAGCCTAACCTCCTTAGGTCAGGAGTTCCAGATCCTGGGACCGGCCATGGAGAAGTCCCTTAGTGGTCAAAGTGTGTAAGCTAGGATGGACCGTTCATGCCGACAATAGCATGCTATATACATATGCTATATACACATGCAAGAGTCCCTGGACTGGTTTCGGCGAGGTGCTCTTTTTAGACCTGTGAAATTCCTTGGGGAATTGTAGTCTTCTCATCAAAACAACAAGCAAATAATGAGAGGGTGAAAAATAGCAACAGGTGTTAGTTATTGTTGTGCAAGTCTCAGTTCCTTAAATGAGAATAATTAACC